GACGCTGGTGGAGTTAGTTGGATTGAAAGACCAGATACGAAAGGAGAATACCATTGGGAATTGATTGTGTTATTCATAGAAGCTGCAGGCACCGGTGTCATGATACCATTTTCGTTAGATAATCTCGAGGTATTAGAACGAGTAGGTCCATTAGTGATTACGGATGGTCGATTTTGAGGCGCAATCACATCAGCATAGGTTGTAAAACGCGATATAGGAACATTGGAAGAAGAAACAGATGGTGCCGTTATGACATTTTGCTTCCAATGTACATCCGACCTTGAGAAACCTGCACTTTTCCTATTTGATTCGGAGAGCGTCGCTTTTGCTGGCATAGCAGTACCATTCAGGGTTTCAAGATGATATGTTTGGCCATCGCGTTTGTTAGATTGTAATAAGTGAGCTGTTTGATCTGAGCGCGATGATTGATAAGATTCGGTATGTTGATGAGAATGTCTTTCCCAAATGTCATAATCAACCGTTTTAGATTTTTCAACGACCTGACGAGACCTCGGTATCTCATTCAAATGATGCTATTTTGAGTAAATATTTAATAAACGTATGGTGGAAAAATAATAATTATACATAATCAAAATCATTCACTTACATGACGTGATTTAGACATCTCTGAGGAAATATCTCGTTTTTGCGAAGATATCGATTGCTCCTGCTTTAAGGAACGTTGATCTGAATTTTGTGTTTGTTGGTTTTGCTGTGCTTTTTGTTGATTATTCTTAGAACCTCTTGTCCTTCTCCTGCGTCTTCTATGTCCAGTTTTAACGAAGGTTTCTTCTTGAGTGGAACATTGCATATGCTTCTGTACGACAGGTACAGTGTGTTGAATCAAGCTTTGATCAGAATGATCATCTGAAATAGTACTACTATCAATATCTCCATCGCTTTCTTGAGCTGTTGAGACAATAATTTGCTCTTTATTACGGGCATTTTGTTTTCGATATCCCTTAATAGGTGAATTAGAATTCTTTTTTTGTAACTTAGATGGCAAAGATGAATCTGAAAATGTAACATCTGCGGTTTGACGTCTACTTTTATCATCTCTATTTGAAATCGCCGTTGGAGTACTTTGTGATTCAGTCCAAGAACTAATATTATCGTCTTGAATAAAACCTTGATCTGTCTCTAATTTTTCAATTGTATGTTCGATTTTACCAGAATTTGGATCAATAACATTATTACCGATTTTGTCCTTATTCTCTTGACAAGCGTCAGCGGAAGATGGAATAGTACGTGAATTTAATGTATCAGCAACATGTATCGTCACACTCGTTTTTATCTCATCTTGTTCTGTAAACGTTGAAGATTGTTCAATAAGTGAATCAATACTCGAAACCGTAGAAGACAGATCATCATCTATTGGCGAAAGTGAACTTGCAGGTATATTTGTTGGCTGAGTTTTTTGGCGCGAACTAGGACGCCTGTGAGAATTTGATGTCTTTTTATATAATCCAGGTGATGCATTATGTGTTGGTAGTACAGATGGTGATAAAGATGTTGAGGACGAAGATGACTTGTCAGGTAATAAACGACTATCCTTTTCATTCGTACTTAATATCCCCTTTTTAAAGTCGCCAACCATGGGTCCAGCCATGTGCAATCTATATTTTTCGCTCAGCTGCAATCTAATCCATCTAGGCTTAAATAATAAATTTTTTTCAAAGAAATTTCGTTAGTATATAAATTTCAAAAAGATCATAAAATAATAGACCAGTCCTCAAATCTTTTACTTAAAAAAAGATATATATATATATATATGAAAAACTATTTACTTAAATGATCCTTAATGATAAAAACCAGATCAGACCAAATCGAATCGAAATAATATAAAAAAAAATAAACACGAGCCTGTATGCAATCGTAAATAAAAGAATAGTAATAGCATACCTTAAATACAAATGCTAAGGCGAGGAAGATTACCATGGCGATCAACATGTAGGCGAACAAAGAGGTAGGCACAAACTTATTGAATATTTCAAAAAGTTCATACACAGATCGCTCCGAGCTGGAAGGAGTCAGCGATCGACTTGACGCAATATGTGGTATAGAATTGTGTTTTGAAGTTACCATTGTGTTGTTTGTGGAATCAGACATGTACTGAACTAATATAGCTTTAAGAATAAAAACAATAAGTTGAGCCGTTTTTTCAAATATAAACAAGATTGGGTGAAGAAATTTTTGACTAGACAATGAAAGAAAAAAAAAAGCAACTATGCTAGACACCAAAGAAAGGACAAAAGGGAAGCATATAAAATAAGTCGCATAAGCGAATTCTTTTGAATTCATTAATTGAAAATAAGAAGGCTCAAGACTTTTTTGGAAAACCTGAAACGCAAGCAGGGGTTTCGGCGTTACTGATTTGAAGATTATCCCTTACGCAAGAAGGTAAACAAAGACGAGATACAACCAAATATAAAAAAACAAAAGCGAAAAGACCTACATAAAAGCCGGCCCTAAAATACATAAAGCCGAGCGAGACAAGGATGATGCAAAAAAAAAAAAAAAAAAATCCGCTGCAAATTTATGTTTGGTTATTAAATTGATTTATTACCAAAGTAGATGCACGAGATTAATGTGATTAATAAAGAATAAAAATATATATGGTTATATCAACATCATTTATATCATCAGATGGACGGATCGGAAGTCGATCGGAGTTTCTTTCAATTTACTTTCTCCTTTCCTCCCATTATATCAATGTTTCATTTAATTTGATGTATGTATCGACGTTGCTTAAAACTTAAATGTGTATTAAATATGAATAAATATCAATGAATGATGCATATATTTAAATTTTGGTGTTCATAATCATTAAGCATACTTCAAAAATCCATTTTTGGGATATTATGAATAAGCCTCGTTAAATTCATTATGTGAACGAAACGTTCATGTGATAATGTTTCAAGGATAAATCTAAATTTTTTGATTAATCCATAAAAAGATTTAGGTAACTATTTGATAATGGTTAATATTTGCAAAATCTTGTTTAATATTTGTTAAAAATATTAAAAATTCATATTGATATGCATGTACAATATTTTTTTTTTTTAAACAAAGGTTATTATTTAATAAGAACAATACAAATTAAAAAATTTGGAATATTAAAAGTTTATATTATATTTTATATTCTATTATATAATTTTAAATCTTAAAATATATGTTCTAATATTATATTTATAAAAGATATTATTAAAGTATTTAATATTATTTAATAATTAATGTTAAAATTTGATATTATTGATATTATTTTTATAAATATAAATACAGTCAACCCTCTCTAAATGCATTCTCTTAGGATTATAAAAATTTTAAAAAATGTGTATTTAAAGGTGTACATTTAAAGAAAATTTTTATATGAATTCTATATGTTTGAAACTGAATAAGAGCGTGTATATAGAAAGAAAATATATAGTGTATGCATTAGAGAAGGTGCATTTAGATAGGGTTGATTGTAATAAAGTTTAATTTATTAAAATATAAATTTTTTAAAAATTAATTTTTATTATAAATAAATAAAAAAAGATTATTAAAAAAATTAAATTCTAAAATTTTAAAACAAATTTTTGATTTTATTAAATTTTATTTTTTATATTATTAAATTAAAATACAAAATAAAATTTAATTTTAATTAAAAACTTCTTAAACTTGATTTTTCTAACAATTATTTTATATAAAATTAACTTAATTATATCTTTTTTTTTAAAATAAAATAAGTATTTATATTTTAAAGATATAAATAACTATACAATTAACATTCTCTTTAAATATTTATACTATATATTTTTTTCTAAATACATATTTTTTTTAAAATTGTATTATAGGTCTCAAGAAAATACATTTATTGTATAATGATTTTTTCTTTTAAAATATTTTTTTCTTTAAAAAAAATTTTTGTTAATATATTTTTTTAAGTATATAAAATAATATTTTCTTAAAAAAAAACTTTTAAAAAAAATTTTTTTCTTTAATTATAACCTAAATATATTTATTTTAAGTTATATTTAATATATTAAACTATATTTATTAAATTTAATTTAATATTTAACATTTTTTTTAAATTTGTAACTAAATAATCTAAAAATAAATGATTATATATGAATTTAAATTATTTATAAATATTAAAAAAAAAATAATACTTTTTATATTTTATACATACTTTTTTATAATTTATAATATATATAAATAAGTATAATTTTTATTACATTCAGAGAATATATCAAATAAGATAATGAGTTTTAGAATATTCTAAAGAAAATTCTTAAATTTTAATTAGTTATTATATACATATAATCAGAATTTAAATTTTTATTATAATTAAATAGATATAGATAGATAATAAAAGATTTCTAATTTTCATAATTATTTTATAATTATTCATAATAAATTCTTTTTAAAAAAATAAATAAAATCTAAAAATTAGAAAATTTGCAATATATTTTGGTTAATTAAAATAAAATAAAAAAGTATTTTTTTAATTTTTTGAATAATTTTAGTTCTGCTTATCAAAAGCAAATAAAAATCTTTCATATATTTTTATGAATTTAGTAGAAAATTATAATAATATAAGATTAAGATTTTATGAAATAAGAAATTTATAAGTTTAGCATTATATTAGTAATTTAAAAAATAGTTAAGTGACTTATACAATATTATAATTATTTTTCTGAGTTTGTTGATTAGTGTTTCGGGCGAAACCGAAACTAAACTTTTGGCGAAACTTCCGAAACCTGGCGAAACTTGTTTCGCCATCAG